ATGATCACTCTCTCTCTGTCAAATAAATAAATAAAATCTTTAAAAAATAAAAATAAAAAAAATTAAAAGCCTTGTCTGTATGAATGGAGTACGTAGTACTTAGCAATCATCACCCTGAAAAAAAGTAGCAGTCTCAGACTAAGAAAAAAATAGCTAAACTAAGGCAGGTATAAACCACTCCTAATCAGAGTGCTCTGCAACACCACACCAAAAACTGTTGGCCCAGGCTTTTACAATCACAAAGACCTGAATTCCAGTCTTTGCTTTCAATTCTTAGCCTGGAGATGAAAGGGCTTTGTAAACTCTAAAGTACTATGCATATATGACTGGTTTTGTTATTAAGTTACACACTGTCACCTGTGAGGCAAAGTGCTCTACCCAGAGTATAGCTGGACCCACCATATAGTAGGGAGTGGGGGGATAAGTAATGCCCAGTCTGAAGGCAGAGAAGCTTCCCAAACTACCCGTAGTCATGTGCCCAGCTGTCCTCTCAGAAGAGGCCTCTGCATATAGACATCCAGTTCCAGTTCCCGCTGCAGAGGCAGCCCCTGGGTCCCAAGGGTAAAGGTCCCAAACACCATCCCTGAGGCTAATTTTCTAGGCAGAAACTCAGCTCCCTGCCTGCCTGCTTCACGCTCACATCTGGGTGGCGGTTGTGCCATACTCCAAGCCCCAGGTTGGGGTCTCCAGGGGCCATCTCTATCCCGCCTGCCAGCTGAGCCCTCCACTGCCTCCTCCAAGACCCCTCCTGTTCCTTCCTAGGGAATACAGGCCCTGCTAGCTGCCTGTCAGCCCCTGGAGCGGTCAAGGGCACCAAGAAAAAAAAAAGAAGAAGAAGAAAGAAAGAAAAGAAAAAAGACAGCTTGAAAGGGTCCTAATCCTTTCCTATTACAAACTGAGCTCAAACACCAGCTGCACAGAAGAGGGTGAAATTAGGTGGTGACCAGGGGGGAAGGCCAGGGATGGTAGCTGGGGCCTCCGATGACCTGGAAGAGATGAGGTTGGGAGACAGCGGGGGTAGAGAGGGGGAAACAGTTGGAGCCTGAACCATTCCCAAATCTGGGACGTGGGCGGATTAGGGACACAGCTGGCCTTACGCCCCAGTGATGGGGCTCATGGAAAACATTTGTCTGTTGTGCAGGGTGGCAAGAGATGAAGAGGGTTTTGAAAAGCTGGGCCCGCCAGCAAAGTGTTCTGAACAGTCACTATTGAATAAAAATCAATCTTTGTAACAGAAGTACATGAAGATTAGAATTGTCTTTCCAACCTGCCCATGGTCATGAAGCTGCAGCCATTTTAGACCTTTTAAACACAAATTATCATAAACAGGCTATGATAAGGAAAATTACTGTTCATACAATGGTATGTCCTTCTAGGCAATTATTTTTAGTAGTAGTACTTGAATTGTTCACAGAAAATATAGTTAAATAAGGGCCGCCTGGCTGGCTCGGTCAATGGAGCATGCGACTCTTGGTCTCAGGGTTGTGAGTTTGAGCCCCAGGTTGGGTGTAGCGATTACTTAACAATAAAAAAAAAAAAAAAGAAAATATAGTTAAATAAGAAGAAAAAGATTTAAATCATCCTAAAATCATCAATCAGAAATAACTGCCACCAATATTTGAGGTGGACTTCCCTTCTAATACCTTCTCTTATACGTACACTTTTTTTATGTATATTAAATTTAGTCATACAAAATTGCTGATCGTATAAGTTAAAAATGGTCAAGCAACAGACACTGTGTATAGTTCAACCTAATGCTTTTTTCAAACTTAAATCATACTGTTTTGGAACTGAGTTTTTCCACCTAATAATATATTGTGACATCTGCATCACCATTTTTAGTAGTGCCCTCAAGCGGATATACCATAATTTAGTTAACCTAGATGTCCAATATTTAGGTTTACTGTTCCATCTTTATCTTGTTTACTCAACAAACATCCTTTTATCTAAGCATACCTATGATTACTTTTTCTAGGATGCACTGATTGCAGCGTTGTTGGTTTTTTTTTTTTTTTTTTCAATTATTGCACACAAGGCTGCCTGTTCTGGTCATTTCTGAGATAAAGGCCAAAGAAATCAGCAAATGCAGTGATTTTATACAATACCTTGTCTTTGTATTTGAAAACACAGAGCATGCTTTGACCTCTGTGACACAATGCACTTTGCTTGCAAAAATTGCATTGAGCTGGGTCCTAAAGCACA